AAAAATTGAAGTTATCTAAAGAATTTACTCTCTGATTATTAAGACTATACACAGAACCCACATATCATTTGAAAGCTTGGCTCCAAATTTAAAATCTGATAACTAAATAGTTTTTAAGATATTTGATGTTTTCTGACTTAAGGCCTTAGTTTTGGTTTCATTTTAAATCATTTTCCATACTTAAATTTAATTACTTAAAAATATTTTAAACATAATTAATTCTTTCAGTGTGTTCATAATTGTTTTTTCAATTCAAGACCATTATTTCTTTTTAAACATAGTTTATATGACTTAGAATCTTTTTATTTTGTTTTCATTATTTTTTTCTGTTGAGAAAATGTCTCACACGAAAGGTTTTCAGATTGCTACGAGGTGTAGTATTTGTAAAAAATAGAATACCGGTTGATTCATAAATAGTGTGACCGATTTCCGAGGATCATCACTTTTTATTGAATAAAGTTATTTACATGAAATTTTCAAAGTGGTTTCCTCTAGCACAGTACACTTTACGTACGCGTTTCGGCTAAGTTAAAAGAGTTTTTTCGACCATTTTTGGTGTATTTTTCCAACTTCCTCTTAAAATGCTTTTTGAAGCCCTTGAAATGCTCTTAATTTATGCCTAATTAATTTTTTTAAGTATCCCCGTAAAAGATAATCGCTAGGAACATAGACAGGGGATAATGATAGTCATTTATCATGAGGAAGAAAATTTATTTTTTTTATATTTCAGTCATTTTATAGTTGTTTTTGAAGTATGATTTGGTACACAATGATGGTGAAAAACAAAGTTTCCTTGAGTGTAAAGACGGTTATTTTCTCGGATCAAGTGTTTCAAAAATTTAATATGGTAATATTTAGCTTTAATTTTATTCTTCGGTTCTACAAAAAATGGTTTTGTTAAGCCTTGAGGAGCATTCCCATCCATACCATACCACCTGACAGCCCCAACATGAATTTTCCAAAAACAGCTGCGTCTTTGCAGTAACTTTGCGAGAAATATATTGTATCTTCTTTTGCCAGCTGTGAATGACAGATGAAACACTGCTTCTTTCGAAGTTATACATGTTTTGTACCTACCTTTGCATAACGTTAAATGCAGATGCCAAGAACGTTTTCTTCGTTTTTCTACGGTCTTAACAGACATTTTATGACAGACTGGAAAATTTAAGTTTTTGTAGTCAATTTTTTTTCTATCTGACAATAAAATTGTCTATTTCTATATCTGTAGTTTCTTTGCCTTAGGTTGTGACGTCTCACGCGTCCTTTCTCTAACGTAACCCCTGTGTTCTTTGACGGCCACGATTAATGGCAAATCTTTTCCAACCCAAATCCAAGAAGTGAAACGAAGGATAGATGCAAATAAGATAACCTTTAAAAGGACAGAAGTTTTAGTAAGCGCGATGGCAATTTAGAGAAAGTTCAGTTCAGAGAAGATAGAAGTGTAAATTGACGGCTTACCTAAGAATCACGAAAATCTAGCTATTCATCCAAGGTACATACCATTGTACGCCAGCTTAGAGGAATATCTGAAGTGGATTGGACCGTTGCTTAGAAACCAAGGTAGAAAGATTATATTCTGAAGGCGCGAATATATTATTAGGATTGGGAGTAGGCGGATATAATATAATTATATAGATAAGTGGTCCAATTGCGCGATCTGTGTTAATTACGGCTACGTGTTTTGGTTTATTCTCACTTAATATAAGTTTGTTCGATATATAAGTAATTTAAGTTAAATTCTTAATAAAAGTCATATTAAGAATTCTAAAATGTCTCATCATTTAGAGAATCCCACACCTCTAACTTACGCTGAAACCCCACGATATGGTCAACGAAGATCGACCATGTCACAAGGTTTTTGTGGCAAAGGATTTTATACAACGATAATTCTTTTCAACTTATTTTTTTCTTTTTCATTAAGGACTTCCTTTCGTTCCCATTGTTTTCCCTGGAGCTTTTGATTGCGAGCCAAATTTTATTTCTTTTTGAAGTTTATGTAGCAATACAATAGAAAAATGTCTTTTTGATTTTTAAATGATTTATTTTTAACAGAATTTGAAAAACCATCCTTCAAAAGCTGTAAAATTTCGTTCCGGGTTAAAGGATCTAATTTCAGCACTATATTTTACTCTTACTAAAAAAATGATTAGATTATTAATTTAAATGTTCCATTTTTAAAATAAAACCATTAGTAAAACGATA